ATGAAGGTGCTTTTACAAGCTCAGGTTAATAGTTACATCATATATATACATTGTATAAATGATATATTACATGGTCAATCTTGGATACAAGTCCAATATATCATCAAGTGTTCCAGTACTCATATAGTAATTACAGAGTTCAGCATACCTTAGCCCAGGAGGGCGAAAGTCAGTCAGTATGGGACATTCTACAATATAATGTTCAAGAGAGTGTATGTTTTCTCTTTCACAAAGTTGACACATTGTGTACTCGACATTTGGGTTTTGAGAAAGCTGCCAGATACGTCTATATAGATTTTTATGAAGTGTGATGTTAGAACTATTATCTTGAGATGATTTCGGGGCTTTAGTGTTCTCGCGGCCCGGTCCTCGACCAGGCCTCCACCCCCAGGAAGCAGCTCGTGACAGCTGACTAACACCAAGGTACCTATTTTACTGCTAGGTAACAGGGGCATAGGGTGAAAGAAACTCTGCCCATTGTTTCTCGCTGGCGCCCGGGATCGAACCCGGGACCACAGGATCACAAGTCCAGTGTGCTGTCCGCTCAGCCGACCGGCTCCCTATTAGGCTATAATTTTTGGATCAGCTTTACTATTTCCTTTGTGAAGTGGTGCGATTTCCACTGTTTAAAGCATGTCAGAGATAACACACCAGCATCTGGACTTCATCTCCAAAAGATGTTTAGGGCCTGTGATAGTGGCTTTTGCAATTCTTGATGAATATAGAATTCCAGGAGTCTGTGCCTGGTGCAAAGTGCACAGGCATATCGTCTATGGTTACTTCAAAGTCGAGTAGGGTTCGGGCAACATTTGATATACGGTTTGATGGTGTCACATTCATAAAAAAATTCACTTTGATCATTGATCTGCAATGTGTTCAGGGATTCGTTGAAAACAGAATCATACGGTGGCCTCAGTATTTAACTAATTTTTTTTCCCCGTCATCTGTGAAGGTTCCATCGCCCTTGCACATGGGCCTAATGCAGAAAGGAGTTTTTGTTCTAGATTTTGCATAGGAGTAAAAGCATTTTAGATCCATTTATTTTGCTTATGGCCTTTTGCTCTCTGCCTCTTCTGGATTTTATATGATTTTTGCAACTTTAGCTCAACCATTTCTATTTCTCTACATAGCCTTAATGTTGTTCTTGGGATAGAGTTGAGCATTTAAGATGTTCTGGAATTTGTTTTCATTATCTAAAGAGGGAATTCTATTCTTGTTCCAGTTTGCATCCTTTTATCTTGTAAAGTTTCAGCTATTTTCTCAAAACACTGGTTTAAATTTGCATTATCTAGCTGTCTTTCCAAGTACATTTCTGAGAGAGCTTGTTCTCGGTTAATATTTTTTTGATGTTGAAATTGAATTTGCAAAGTTCTTCTCCTGGATTTGAGATTGGCTGCACAGGTCTATTGCCCATGCATGTCTGAACTTCTGTTAGGTTGTGATCTGAGTAATGTGTATTTGTAATCAATGTCCCTAATCAGTTCACTATGGTTTGTAAAAATAAGATCTAAGGCATTTTCTTTCCTAGTTGGTTCTACTATTTGCTAGTTTAAGGCAAATCTGTCACACATCTGTGACTGTTCCCTTACAACTGCATCTCTCTGGTATAACTGTATTTGCTAAATTTTTCCATTTTAGGTGTCACGAGTTGAAGTTGCCAAGCATCATGATGTTTAGGGCAGGGTTTGTGAGGTTTTCAAAGCAGTATTCTATTTTTGTAAGTTTTGTAAGTTGATCTTTACTGCTGAGGATTTGCATCTGGTGATTTATACAAAGACAATCACCCCTATTTAGAATTTCTATTCAGTAGTATTAGTATCAGCACTTCCACCATATCATTTGTGGTGTTTTGCAGACGAGTGTCTTTGATGTACAGGCTGACCTCACCCTGTAGCCTGTGTTTTCTATCACATCTGAAAAGATTGAATTTTGGTATCCATATCTCATTGTCATAATAGTCCTTTGTGACATGACAATACAAAACTTCAAACATTGCATTTGCCTCTTTTTAGGAGATAAATTAGAAAGTGGACCAAGTGAGCTGCTGCCTTCTATGGTCTCTGTACAATCACAACTAGACATGTCCCAAGGGAAAGACAGCTCTGATGAAGGTATGGCAGCCTGACAGTTATATGAACCCCACAATGGAAATGTTGGCAGCAAATGTACCCATCCGCAAAGGCACATCTGGATGCTACAAGGGAAACCTGCAGGAATAAATAGGTAAATCAAGCCAATGGGACAAACCCTGAAGACTGATTTGTCACCATCAGATCAGGAAGCCTTTATGGTCCATCTACTAGCAAAAGGCAAAAACTCTGGCTAGCAGAAACATAACATGACAATGAACGCAAAGAAACTGGTCAGTGACAGAAAGGATGGCTAGAACCAAAGCTCCCTAAAGAAGAAACACCCATAGAAGAACAGTGGCAATCTGTGAAAGGGACCAGGTGCCAGAGAGCAACAAGATGGTCAGAACCTGAAAGCAGGAAGCAAGGAAAATTCCTACAACTCCAGCATGGCCCAGGAATGCAGGCAGCAGGGCACACATTCTGAGGCATTCCATAGAACAAGGAAAGCAACTTAAAGCTGGGACACCACCATTTCACCAAGCACCCTTGGGATGCAGTGGAATATCAGAAAGTTGAACCAAGCACTGGCAGAAGCCCAATAGGATCAAGGAGGAAACATGGACATGGGCAGCATACCCATGCAGGTCTATTATCAAAAGAATGACACCAAGTTGGGAAGAATATGCACCCACATCCAAGCAAGTAAACCCAACAGGACACAACACCAAGGAAAGTGTCTGCATGATGAGAAAGAAGCATGGCCACTGATGTGTCAACCCGTTCTCGCAAATTTAATAAGTCAATATTGACTTATTAAATATGTGCATAGGTGACATACTTAACATAATAGATACCCTTAAAAAGATTCATAGAAAACACCGACCTTACCTAACCTTGTTAGTATCTTAAGATAAGCATCTTATAGCTTCGTAATTACAATTATTACCTAACCTATAATAGGTATAGGTTAAGTAATAATTGTAATTCCGAAGCAATAAGATGCTTATCTTAAGATACTAACAAGGTTAGGTAAGGTCGGTGTTTTCTATGAATCTTTTTAAGGGTATCTATTATGTTTAGTATATCACCTATGCACGTAGTTATTAAGTCAATATTGACTTTACGAATTTGCGAGAACGGGTTGGATGTGTGCATTGATGCCCATCTCTCAACGTGGATCGAGCAGCGCCCAAATGATCCAGACCCAATGACTCGGATAAAAATTAATCTAGCTGGAATCTTGCGATATCAATGAACCAGTTCAGAGCCAAGACCCCTACTGATAATAAAGATGAGCCCAAGCCTAAAGCTTAGCAAGAGCCACATAAACTTCATGGTAGGACAGACGCTTGAAGATGGTCACCAACCAAATACACAACCAAGGTGAAAGCAACATTGCAATCAACAGAAAAAATATTAAGAGGCAGAAAGAATGACCTTTCCACCAGCAATTTTGTTAAACTACACCGAGGTCCCCAGTTATTCTGCCCCGGTGAAATTTGCAAGATATGTGGAGAACCTGAAAGTTCTCACTTCAGTCTTTCCAATTTTGCCATTTTTTTCCCACTTTCCCTTTGGGGTTATAAAGCTGAAACTTGGGCTGGAGGTTCATCTTGCATGTTAATTTTTGTAAATAAAGTTTCATAAGAATTTGATTATTTTGAATGTTAGCATATGAATAAATGTGATTTGGACCCCTTAAAAATGCTGTCCATGTCCACCTTGTCTGTTCCCCCCCCCTCTCCTCAGTATTTTGTAAATAGTGAAAACATCAATTTTTTTTCTCTATGGTTCAGTAGTTTGTAAGCATGCATCTTGGTGATCTCTGTGGTGGCAAGTTGCACAATTGAAGGTTTGGAAGTTTATGTAAAGCCTATGCAATATTCAGTGTTTCCCCAGCACCAATATAACCTGACAGGAGCAGTATATAAAGTAGCATGCAATATCAGTGTAGTGTGCATCTGTCCTCACTACAAAAGACCTTCCTCAGAAGACACCAAGACCTTCCTCAGAAGACACCAAGACCTTCCTCAGAAGACACTAGGATCTTGCCTTGGGGAACAATTGAGTGAAACAGCTCAAACAATATACAGTAATGAGATTAAAGATTGTTACTTATCATTTCTAGAGCCAAATGTAAATTACGCTAGAGAGATGTTCTATAAAACTTCTCATTCTGCCCACATTTGGCCAGGCTACTACAGAATGAACAATGCCTAACTACATGGTGTAAAATAGACTGTAAACAAACTATAAAGAAAGCAATAAGTGCATAGGAAGGTTCTCAGTTTGTTTATTTTTCCAAAGTGGCTTCATTGGGAATAACAGAATGGATATACAGCTAGTAATGCTGCTAGTGAAACCGTAGAACATGGTAGACAAATGACAATTATTGCTCGACAGGTTTACCGTCATGCAAACAACCAACTAATTGTGTACATTAGGATTCGGCTCACGACAAGAATAAAGTAAGACAGGGCATTGAACACAAGTACAGTATACAAGACCCAGAGAACACCCATACCTTGTTTTTCCTAGTTGCATCGATACACTCTGTAATAACACACTGGTACACACTGAATGATTCCTGCGACAAGTGTTGTCACATTTATTGTTAAACAGAACAAGTGATCCTTGTTCAGCTGTGATCAGGAGGTAAAAAGCCAATACTTCTCTCAACAGACTGATAAAGGTCAAGTTACTCAATCTTTGCACAAAAGCCCATAACTTCCCCAAAATCACATGGCATGCTTTACCATGTTAAATCTAAAGGTAATTTCAGACAGTACTGTATTTATATTAACCAAGAAAAAATACAGCATAGTCTACACCCTTCTCTTCTGAAATATATTTATACAACTTGAAGGCTTACCTTACTTACACAGTAATACATACAATACAGAGCACTTTCTAAAGATATTGTGTTACCTGGCACTGCACAAGAGCTGTTAGAGTAGCATGGGTGTCACGAAGGTTCATAGCTCTATCAGGACCAAATGGAGCCCACCAAAGCACATGCTGTGTTTTGGGATCCGACAAAGGGTGTGCTAGAAAATATTCTTTGGATATTCTTGTACCACAGCTTGCCAAAGCTTCTGTAACCTCATGACTGCCCCCAGATCTAAGGACAATGTGAACATTTTGCCTTGCTTCCTCTGCAAATTAAAACATGTTTCACATATCAAATATGTAATTACATGAAATGTAAATACACAAGCTTTGCAATTCTCAAGTAATATTTAAGAACTAGATATGATTTCATTGTAACTGATGAGAGGTATTTCTAGGGCAGCATATCTCAAGATACAAAAAACCAGTGTTGAATGTAATGAAATGCCTCTTTCTGGTGGGCCCCGGTGGCTCCCTGAAGCTCTCTCACTAATATTACTCGATTTGATGAGTCACATCAGTCACTGGAGAGAGGAGAGACAGCAGATATTAAGACAAAGGAGAGAAGCTAGACTGGAAGATATACCCCAAAGCAATACATGACAAACTGTAAAGTCAACCAAATACTGGGCCGTTAAAACTCCTGAACCTGACTGTCAACCCAGAACATGTTGGAAAAGATTTCCACCAGTGTGGTATACTTGTAAACATCATCAATGGGCCAAGAAAAAATGGGTAAAGATTACATTATATGCAATGATTGCAGGACACTGTAATGAGTAAAAGAAATATGATTTTATACTGGTGAAATGAGCATGGACATATGTGAAGGCCAAAGCCAACTGATAAGATGGGAGGAAAGGTAGTTGTAACACAAATAGTGATGACTATATATAATGGGTTTTGTTGTAAATGCTGATGATAATTACTGTATTAATAAATTTATCACACAGAACTAGAATATCTGGGTCTTAAGCAATTAAGTAGCTGCATAACTAAAATGTTGACCAGACCACACACTAGAAGGTGAAGGGACGATGACGTTTCGGTCCGTCCTGGACCATTCTTAAGTCGATTGTGATGAAGCAGACAGGCAATAAATAGGCAAGAGAGAGGTGAGGAGCAAAGTAAGGTGTAGTAGAGGGGATAGTAGTAGGAATAAGAACTGCAGAGGGTCCTATTGGCCCATACGAGGCAGCTCCTATTATAACCACTGAATGAGGAGAGAGTAATAGGAATAAAAAGAGGATAACAAGGGAACGTAGGAGAAGACAATGAACAGAAAAGAGAGAGAAGAGAGAAAGAAAAGGAAAGAGAAAGAAAGATAAATGGAAGGGTAAGCTTATGTTAGGTCACGTTTGTTAGAAAGATTAGAGCATTTGAGTATATACTGTGAAAGGGAAGAGTCCACAGCAACAAAGCCAGGACTCAAGTTCATGTTGGGTACATTGTGTATTAGAGCCGATTCAACAAGACGGCGTCTGTGTAGATTAGAGGCAGGAAAGATTATAAGAAATAAATAATAAGAAAGGAAAGAAATATAATTAAAATATGTGTTACACAAATGCCCTGACTAAGTTTATATGTAGAAACTATGAGGCAGCAGTAAGAGTCAGTTATGTGCATCACGAAAGTAACATTAGCAAAAGTATCAGGGCAGTCATTCTCAACAGGGCTGATATCGCCCCCAAGGGCAAATCCTTGAAATAATTCCAGGTCATACATTAGATACACACATGGATTTCATTGACAACCGAAAGGAGACAATTTGTCTTTGCTCTTGATGCTGGTTAAATGAGAAAAATTAGAGCAAAAACTTACTCAAAAATACATTTACATATGATTAGAATTAGCCTATTTATCACCATCTCTACTGGGACCCCTAGTTACCCAGCCCATCCTCCAAAAGTTTCCTAACGTCAAGTAACTGTCGTACTAAAATGCCCTTATCCTAACCTACCAGAGGACCCAAAACAGAAAACAGAACAATACATCACTTTTGCGAGCCATTACCATTTTCTAGCAAAACAATTTTTGGCCTTGGGTAGAGTATACACCACAATGCAACATTCTATTAGGAGGACAGGTTTAGTTACCTTGGGGGTCCACAGAGCCAAGGTTGAGAAACACTGGTTTAGAGCTTGGTCTAATGCTATTGCACTGACAATACTTTGAGAATACACAAAGTTGCTGTTTCTTTATCTTTGAAATTTGCTTCTACTGGAAATTCCCCTTTCCTGGTAAGGTGCACATGCAAAATGTTTTCCACTTTGACGATATAGAAGGGCAAAGGAACAAGTATGATGAAATGCTACTTTATTAAAAGAATGACAATCATAGGAAAACAATATTATTAGAGAATACAATTGTTGACAGTGGTAACTGATAAGGGGAATTTTTAATCAGCTTTCTAACTCAAAAACATCCTGTAACTTGATTAAACCTCCATTAAATTTTATGATCACCTTACCTTGAAAATTCCTTGTATAACTCTTCGGATCAAGAAATCTCTTTACTACAAGTGATGCTGCCAATACAGGATTGGAGAGAATGTCTTCCAGATATTTCTGAAAAAATAAAAGGAACTCAAATATTAATAGTTTCAGCTAGTTAAAATTTCAGTGAAGACTTTTTTATTACTATTCTTATACCACAGTTAATAATATATTAAATGCACAATGGCATAAATCTGTCTGTTCATTAACAAATACCCTGTAAGGGCAAATAACTATTATTAAGCCTAATGAATCTTGCCCAAAATGTTGTGCATATTAGCGGGTTTAGGCATAGTATGTATTAGCTCTATCTAGAAATCTAACATTACATTTGTAACTCATCTTGTATGTAGGTACATACTTTTACCTGAATAAACATTTGATTTGATTTGATTTGATTTTAGGAAGTAGGAATTTAATAACCCCCTTTGGCCTGAAAACCTTTAACCATAGACAGAGGCTCAGGCAAAGTTTAATTTTTTGGGGGCAAGCAGTGTGCTGCTACCTTATTCTATATGAGAGGTTACAAAGTACAGTACTGTACTGTATAAATCAAAAGCTAGCTTAAAACTCCTCCAATATGTATCCCATCTCACAGGATGGTTTGTCATACATTGCATCAGGAAAAAAACATGGGATGCGAGTCTAATCTATTAGCCTGCACTAGCAAACTTTGGGTAGAGCACGAGAATATCTTGAGGTTATCTTAAGGTTATCTTGAGATGATTTTGAGGCTTAGCGTCCCTGCGGCCCGGTCCTGGACCAGGCCTCCTTTTTGTTACACACCCCCCAGAAAGCAGCCCGTAGCAGCTGTCTAACTCCCAGGTACCTATTTACTGCTAGGTAACAGGGGCATCAGGAAAGAAACATTTTGCCCATTTGTCTCCGCCTCCACCGGGGATCGAACCTGGAACCTCAGGACTACAAATCCGAAGCGCTGTCCACCCAGCTGTCAGGCCGCCCAAAGAATACAAGAATGCCAGTAACTGCAGAAGGACTATCAGCTCATTACACACAGAAATCACAATTGTGTGATGCATCAATTGAACAAATCCACAAGGGCCGTGACGAGGATTCGAACCTACGGCTGAGAGCATCCCAGACGCTGCCTTAATCCACTGAGCTACGACATGGTTGACGACTACGACATATCTTCTAGTATCTGTGAGTGAAAGTAATTACGAAGCGCAAAGTATCACGTCTTTTGGTCTAAAACCATTTATAACGGCATTCACAAATACAATGTTAACGTGTGTCTTAGTTCTTGTTCACAGACTTTACAACTGGAGTTCAGTACTGTACTCACTGTTGGGAGATTAATTACACGCAGCCACCTGATGTAACAATATCTTAGCCTAATTCTGGCAATTACAATGCCAGACCTGATGACCAGTGACAACATGCCACACACTCAAGGGAGAAAGGGATACAAAATTAACAAGGATAGTGCCGGAAACCACACGCAAGGCCAGTGGAGTCAAAAAACCACCCATCAAACTGATGTGTAGCATAAGCTGGCTCTGTGCAAGGCTTACTCATAACATAATGGAGGAACCACTGTAACTCCAGCAGTGACTGGAGAAAAACAATTAACACAAGATTGATATTCAACACCTGTTCTATCTACGAGCATAATAACTAGTAGCCAGAGCAGATAGTGGCAGCAAATAAAAAATAGCTTACATATTTTACAGGAAATATGAATTAAAAGTATATATGGTAAATGCATGACCATTTTGACAATACAGTATCCACTCAATTTAACGGCCTCTTTTATACCGATCTGCCGGTATTAACGACCGGTTTGGGAGCCCAGTATCTGGAGCCTGCTATACCGGTTTGCGGTCGATATTACCGACAGTCGGTATTGGGTTTGTTGTGGCATCAGCATCCCCTCACATGGCGACCAGGCCGCCACCGACCTGGATCGTCCAGAGTCATATATTACATCTTAATTTTCTTTTAAAATGATTCACTTTAATGAAGAAAATTGTAAATTATTATTAATAAAATATTTTGAAACAGTTTTTATTAAGCAAAAGTCTTTGTTTTCTTATTAAATACCTTTTATAGTATGTATAGGCACTAGGTATTTTTTTCCCACGGACCTAGTATGTACTCCTCCGGGCCATGTGTTCCCATTGTTTACCGTGAACTCGCGCGGCTAGCTTCAATTGTGAAGGATATTACTGTACTGTAATTGTGATCTTTTTAATTTACAAAATGCCAAAAGTTACCCAAAGGAAGCGCCTGACGGTTGCACAGAAGCTGGAGTTAATTAAGAAACTTGATAAAGGATATTCTCATGCACGACCAGCAGCAGAGTTTAACATCGGGAAAAGTACAGTAAGTGACATCAAGAAACAGAAGGATACTCTATTAAAATATGCCTGAAAATAAGTGTACATACAGTATGTACCCTGTATACAATATAAACAATATAAAACAAGCGCTGCAGAGGATGACGTAATCTTCACAGCTTCGTAATCTTCAGCTTCATTAAAAGTAAGTCAATTTACCAATTTTATTATAGTATTACAAGATATTAATTGTTTTTTTTCAACAAAAGCTACATATTAGTCTCTGCAAATGTATATTCTATCGTCAGCAGAGAATAGGTGAGCTCAAAATATTTCGTCTTGGCTAGCTCTCAGTGACAAGGCTCGATCGCCATTGTTATGGCATGGCCGCCACAGCCTGTGTTGTAACATTAAAAATACATTACCTGCACTGTTCAGGGTAAATCAAAACACATCTCTAAAATATTATTGAGAAAATATTAACTTGCTGATTGATACATGAAATATTTTGCAATACAAAGGAATGAATCAATTTTTTCCCACCCATCTGGGCTTGATCAGACCGTGTTCACACATCATCCATGCAGCAGCCAACAACTGGCTTAATCGTCGGTGTGGCACTAAATTGGAATGCAATTACACAATGAACTTTATTTAATTTTAGTTATACAGTATAAAATATATCCTACCTGAATGTTACTTGAAAAATTACCCGACCCGACTTAACTTCAGAAATAACGGAGCTCCGTAAATAACAACTAGGGCTCAGCCCCATATAGGCTGTTAAATTGAGTGGATACTTAACAATTTGTTTCACTTGAAGTATCTCTCTCTCTACTTTATCAAAACAATATATATATACCCCTGTATGTACCTATATACAGTACTGTATAAAGATTAAAATAGAAAATATACAACAATTAAATATTGTACTATTGTAATATTTTACAAAAAACCAGCATTGAATGTAATAAAACGCCATTTTCTGAGTGAGTCCCGAAGGCTCCCCAGATCTATCCAGGATGATATGGATATCCCTAACTTTGGAATCAGTCGATGTGGGTGGAGTTCTAGGCCTACCGGGGACCCCGAGCCAGAACCTGGCCCGCTCAAAGAAATGATACATGTGATTTTGAAGCATTCTATATCTGCTATATCTGGACAGGCACCCAGAAAGGTAAGCACCCCAAAACAAACCCCTATTCTCGTTAATTAATTAATATAACACTTTCGCGCTCCGATGTCGCTTTCCAGCGACATCTGTTTTTCTCCTGAGCCGTCTCGGATGACGTGGTCCGTAGTCATCCATTAAAATATTTGTTAAAAATTTAAATTTTAACTTATCAATCTGCGAGTGGTTTCAAAATGAGCGCCTTTAGATTGCGCACAATTTGATACCAAAATGAAAGACGTAACACGAAAATTGATGTCAGAACACTGGAAAGATATAAATAATTTTGTGTGATGAGCTTCAAAAAGTGTCCAAAAGTTAAAATATTTGTTAAAATTCAATTTATTGTTCTATTATTATGGGACTACAGTGGAACCTCTATTAACGAGTTTAATCCGTTCTGGCACCGAGCTCGTTACCTGGAAAACTAGTCTTTGGAAACAAATTTCCCCATTTAAAATAAAGGAAATAAATTTAATCCGTTCCACTCCCAAAAACATCCATACTTGTATGACTTTTTTTTATGTAAATATAATATTGCACATGTAAATATAAATGTTTTGTTGTAGTGTTTTAATATTTACTTTACCTTATGAAGAGTAGTTGCTGGCTTGAGGGAGACGATGGGGAGGTGGGAAGGATGAGAGGGGTTATGGTGTGGAAGGAGAATCCACCTCTGAGTCAGGCGGACTCTCTCTTCTTGGGAATTTCACCCAAATTTCATTTCAAATGTCACACAAGGATGCGTTAGACCAGCACCAAATAAAAAACTACGTTGACTACACTCGTTGTGTCAACAATATAATAGTCTTACCACGAAGATACAATACAATGCCGTTTTCTCAAATAGGCAATGTGGTTATTAAAGAAAAAGGAAATTTCATGGCAAACATTTATACAATCCCCAAGTCGATCGGATATGAATTGGATTTTATAGAAATATTTGCTCAAATGACGCTTGAGCGCGGTGTTTGGGTGCATTCAAGAGAAAAAAAGTGTGTTACGTTCAAGCGACATATACCTGCAAAAGTGATAACACTTTCATAAAGTGTTATTACAAAGTGATAAATTAATTAAACATTTTTACACACCGGGTTGTCACTGCTTTATCAGGGCAGCTTTTCCAAGAATGCGTTCACCTTTTCAAACATTCCAAATACTTCCCTGATCTCAGTGGAAGAGGCAGCATCCTCCCTTACCTCCTCATTCCCTTACTAATGGTGTAAATTGTTGATGAGGACCTGCCATACTTCCTTGTGAGATCAATCACATAGACACCACACTCATGCTTTGCTATAATTTCCTTCTTTAAATCCACAGTAATTGTGTCTTTCTTCCTCTTGACAACACTATCTTTAGCAAGCAGCTTCTTTGGAGACATCATGTGTTACAAATTGTAGTCGCAAAACCACTAAAAACCCAAAGAAAAGCTCAAATAAATCCATAGGGATGCTTGTCGTGTGAGATACAACAACACTGGCGTCGGAGGCGTCCGAGAATTTGCGAGAACCCGCGAGACGCTAGGAAGCGCCATGTGGTTTCACTCGTTAATAGAGGCGAGCTCGTCAATAGAGACAAATTTGCTGCGAGTGGCTTGCTCG